AACTCAGACCAGGCTGTCCCATTTGCTTACACTATTCAACTTTCCTTTAAGTTTTAAAAAGGTCTGTTACCATTTCAACTGCATTTCTTAATTTTACTTTATCATCAATGTTTCAGGAATCAGTAACTGATAAACTAACAGCAACTCTCAAGGCTGATTTTAATATAAGTTTTATCAAAATTTGTATTAACTTTAAACAAATAATAAATCCAGGTTTACTCTATAAATTGGTTTACTGCCAATTATCTTCATGTCTTTCTCTGGGAAAAAACAGAAAAGCGCTTAGGCTCCCCATTCTCTTCCTTCAAGAGAAAAGAATTCAGTGACCTTCTAGTGAAAAGTGATCCTCTTGCAGCTCTCTGAACTGCACTGACTGCTTCTGGGGGTTGAAAACAGCCCAATCTCTATTTATTTTTCTTTTTTAAAAACCCATAAAATTATTGCTTTATCTAATATTTTTCCAAATTAGCACATCAGTGGTGGGTTCTGGATCCCGTAGCAACCGTACTGGCCAGTGTTCTCCACATGAATGCGTGCAGCGCGCACATGCGTCTTACCATCCAGTGACGTCTCTGAGATGCTCCAGCTGATTGGCGCCGAGAGTTTAAAGACAGGTAAGGAGCACGGGTGGGCGGACAGGCCCTCCAGAGCACGGTACCCAATGCTCCGGGCAGGCACTGGTACGCCTGTACCGGGGTGTACCGCCTGCAACCCACCACTTTATTTTACATATAAAACTTTACCATCAACTCCTCTTGTAAAGTTCCTTTAATTTCTACCTAAATCAGCAATACAGTTGAATGAAAGTATATTACCTCTTACTACTATGTTGACCATTTCCTGGACTATACTCTGTACAACATCCTGAGCTGTTTCTTCACATTGATTACTTTCTCCATCATATGACCCTGCATCATTTTTAGTTAGAGCTACAAAAGAAAAATAAATATATTGTTTAAAATTATTAGGAATCCAGTCAGGTCAATACATTTTTAAATTATAAATGCTACATAAATACATGTTTATGATTGTTCATAATATTTACTGTACCTGAGGTTTTAGAAAATACATTTTAAAAAGCAATAAGAAATTACTACAAAGTTTATAACTTTATAAAAAAGAAAATCATAACCATAATATTAAAGCCTGCTGATAACTGTGTGTAGTTTTTAACCAAATGAACTTGTTATAAAAAAAGGCAAATCAATATATTTGTTCTTCTCAGTTCAATTTTTTGTAGTACCTCGAAGCACCCAGAATACCTCAAATTTTTCAGCAACATACATATTAGCATTTAATGCAATATAGAACTGTTAAACCTCTAAAAAGCTTCCATTTTACTCATTAAAATTGCCTGAACCCTTTCTCCAGAAACATCATAGGGGTATATTACCTGGAACTTCAAAAACAATAAACAAGCAGAAAGCAAAATTCCTAACCGGAAAAAACACCTCCAGCTTAAGACAATTTGGCAATATGATAACAACATGCCCATTAGCATCTCATTCTGATTAATCATCATTATTACTTTCTGCTGTTGTTGCTTGATCAGCTTCTGTTTGTTCATTTTCTGCACTAGAAATATCAGATCCATTTTCTCCTTCTGTATCTTCTTGAAGGTTTTTGTCCACATCATTTGTATGATGCTCCAAATCCCTTTCATGATCTTGGGATAATTGATCAACAGTCTCCTCGGAAAGATGCCTTAATTGAGGTGATTCAGGCTCATGATGGCTTAAAGGAGATTGCTGCAGGTGATACTGTTGCCGATGTCTCTCTTTCTCCATTTGCTTGGCTTCTTGAAGCTATAAATTGTATTTATTTATATGAAAAATAAAGCATTAATTAATACATGTTCATTTGACAGACATGATATTATTTGTACACTTGGTGCCCTTCAAAAGTTGGCACAGATCTGAAATTTTATTGTGATACAAGTTTTTAAACACACACACACACACACACACACACACACACACACACGAAGAATGCTCTTTAGATTCTTTTAATCATCTTAATTAAATACAATTCAGTTTTTGACCTGAATCTAGCCACTTTATGATCACAATTCTCATTAAACTATTTGGAAAATAAGAACTATCCTTTTTCTTTAAAACTTTGTGTGTGATGTAAATTTGGAATTTGTTTTATTTTTTTCACATGGCCCAAACATATGCAAATACTGTTAATTCTGCCTATATATTTAACTATTAAATAATAGATCTTTTGACTATCTATGTATCTGACTATCTAGCCACCCATCTCGTGAATGAGAGTCTGGGTGGTGTATAGCAAAAACAAGTTAATAAAAACAAAATAACCATAAAAACATGCATATAACATGAGGTAATATGTAAAAACTTATACATAATAATGGCCTCTTGCAGGCTCCTTGTTCCCAAGGGATACCCAGATCTACTGGAAAAAAATTCTTCAGATCTCTGGAAGGCCAATAGGTTTGGGGCTAATCCAGTGGTGCAATTCAGCCGGTTCTATCCGGTCTGGCAAACCACTAGCAGTAACAGTGGGAGGCTCTGCCCACCCGCCCAGACGTCATCACGTCCCGTTTTTGATGCTGTGTGCGTGCTCACATTTGCGAACCGGTAGCGAAGGTAAGTTGATTTCATCATTCACACCAGGATAATCTCACTTTAGGGTGAATGATGTTCCAAATAATGGGCGCTACAGCAGAAAATACTCTCTTTTGGGTTCTGTAACATGGAACTCCATAGGAGGTGGGACTATAACCTATCTTTCCTGATTGTATGGGTAGACGGAATCAGGAAGAAATGGTTGTCAAATGACCAGGCCCCAAAGCCATGTAGAGTTTTAAATCTTCCCATACGAACTGCTGCAGCATCCAGGCACTAAGACAGGACATCAACAGCACTCCTTAGTTTACCAGGGGTGTAGATGTACAATTGAGTATACTCGTGACACTTCAGTCCATATAGAGGATGATCTCATCTAAAGGCTTGATGTTGGTATGAAACAGGAGTGTAAAGCATTCCAAGCCCTGCAGAATCTCACATAGCTTGAGTTGAGGATAGGATCTCTCACTCTCAATAAACACTAGTACCAGCTCCACAGGAAGGAAGGGAACCATCACAAGTATCGTTGACTCCCAGTCTACAGAGTCAATCCAGAAGGATACCATGGTTGATAATATTGAAGGCTGCTGAGATGTCAAGTAGAACAAGAATGAATGCGCTAAAACCCACTGAAGAGATTATTGACTTCACAGCCATATGACTCTGTCCACATCCTCAGCCCCAGTCAGAGGTGGGTTCCTACTGGTTTGACAAGGTTCAGCTGAGTAGGTAGTAACTCGGATGCCTACACCCCCAAACCGGTTTTATTGGCCACGCCTATTTTGTTTTCTGCTTCTACACATGTGCAGAAGCAAATTTTTCACTACTGCACATGCATGTGTAGCATGCATCAAGCGTGCACATGCCCAAAGTGCATCCCTGGTAAAAGAAACCAGAAACCACCCCTGGCCCCAGTCCTTTAGTTATTCTGGTGGCGCAGTGGTTAGAATGCAGTATTGCAGGCTAGTCTGCCCACAGCCTGAAGTTCAATCCTGATGGGCTCAAGTATTGACTCAGTCTTCCATCATTCTGAGTTTGGTAAAATGAGGCCCGATATTGTTGGAGGCAATATGCTGACATTGTAAACCTCCCAGAGAGTATTGTAAAAGCACTATAGGGTGGTATATAACTGTAAGAGCTATTGCTACTCAATGATTGTTAGATGAAATAAGTAATGTCTGGCAAATGCGTATTCAGTTATTTTAAGGTAAAAGCCAAAAGTCAGAGCACATATGGTAAGATTGAACTTCTTCATATTTGATCAAATGATTTCCAGTGTTTTTGGAAGGCTTGTTCCAACATTGGAATACATCTAGTAAGGTTGGAATGGGATGTTTCAGAGTTAGAACATTTTCCTCTTATACCTCTTGTACAATTCAATTGGCAAACAAATCTAAATGTTTGCTATTCCTAGAGCTGAATGAGATTTTTGGAACAACAACTCAAGTACAAAGAAACTTACCGCTTGGTTTTCCATGCGTGCAAATATTACATTCAACATTTGTGTGAGAGTGGCCTTGGCTGTGGTTTGATTTATGAGATTCTTGCTTGCAAGATAAATATTGTAGCATGTTCTCACAGCTTGCAACACGGTCCCTTCATGTATCTCTATGTGTTGAGATGTTACTGCTGTTAATAGAGCCTAAAATAAATGTACAAAGTTAGACCTGCAGTTATTTAGAAATCTTGTATATATATCTCCCAGTTCTTTTACGTATAATTGGCACATGCTCAATTCATGAAAATACTTTGTAAATGATGAGCCATAAATGTACATACATAATGTATAGAATTAATCTGGCAATCATATTATGTATCTATAGGCACCAAAAGCTTTAAAGGAGATAGGAGCTGCATAGAAATGGCCTTTGTACTAAAAGTCCATAACACATTTAAATCAGTCTTTGTACATATGGTAATGTAGTTCATTCCTTTTTAATGAACACTTCTAATATCAGTCTCAGACAGTATTAAGATATCAAGAAATGTCATCTGATGTAAATATAATAAATTATTATATAATTAGGTCAGATTCAGTTTGAAATCAGTATTAACTTATGCAAATCCTTATAAGCAAAAACAATCCTATAATTTAAGAATTTGATCAATTTGATAATCTGGAAACCGTACAAATTTCATATCCAGTTAAGACCACAGACCCTTGGAGGATTTAATAAGAAATCTATCAGATTATATTTTAAAAATTTAAATAATAAAGTATTTATTGAATTACAATGGAGGGATTTTATAGATGAATAGTCTATGAGTCTATAACTCAATAAAAATACTGATATTTTTAGATATGAATAAAAAATATTCATTAGATTCATAGTTTCTATTCACTGTAAACTGTTTTTGAAAAATCAAACATAACCATTTAGAACGTCTCAAATTCAGTAAAATATAATTATTAACAATAGTTTTAACCTTACCTTTATAATTTGTAGTTGAACACCTTCATCTGTCTGTGGACCTTGAAAGCAGCCACATATTGTTTCAATAATTCTATCAATCAACTTTTTCCCAGGAGCAGTGCTATCTGGAGCGTTACCAGTCAAATGCCCATAGGCTATAAGTTTCTGAGAATAATGTAAGTAAACAACAATGAATAAGCAAAGCTAATATATGTTCTTCAGCCAGGGAAATCCTCATCTAAAAATCACAATAAGTTTCAGGTTTATTAAATAAATATTGGAGCTATTTAGGAATAAATATCCTTTACCCTTATTCTTGCAAAAAAAAGTTTGGATACTATTTGGATACACTTTCACAAGGCCCTGAACACATGGTACTTGCAATGGGTGTGGAGACTCCAGAATGATATGGAGCCCATCAAGTGGCTCGTTTGATTATTGTCACCAAGGGGTGGGGTGGGATATTTTTTTCTCCATATTGTTTTTGTATTGGAATTTTATCCTTGTAAGCTGCCCAGTCACTGAGTTGAGAGGCCATATAAATTTTCTTAAATAAATAAATAAGATCCTGGGGTATTTTCTTCTCTCCAGTTCATAGTATTGCCTTTTTCAGACATTATTATTATTATACAATTGTATCACAGCGGCCAGTTGTTTCGCCGGATTTGGCATTGGTTACTAGTCGGGCCCCACCCAGGGGCCTAGGACATATTATTATTATTATTATTATTATTATTATTATTATTATTATTATTATTATTATTATTATTATTATTATTA